AGGTCACTGGAAAATACTGCAGCTTCATATGTTTAGGAGATGTTCTTAAAATTCCATATCCCCACCTTTCTCTTGCCTCTCTTTCTGAGCATTTTTTAATTTTTCCCTAAGAATTTGCTATCATCTTATTTTCAGTCATATTCTGGACTCATTCTCCAGCAGCAGCCAGTGGAGGATTAAATGCCTAAGAAACCTCAGCAAAACCCCAAGTAGTGTGAACAGCTCAATCCTGGCACCAGAAGAAATCGGTGGAAGTCCTGAGGGGGGGAGGGGGCAACTGTGCTTGGTGCCTACTGTGATGGCAAGGTGATTTGCATTGCAGAGCCTCACATTCATTCAAGAATTTGCCACTGGTGCCATAACAAAGCTCAGCACCTTCCAGTCCCAAGGATTGGGTGTTTGGGTACATCTTTCCTAGATATTGCCAGTTTAAGGCTACAGGTGCTGCCAGTCTCTTCATGTTGAGGGCAGTGGTGTGATTGTTCCTGTTGAGGTCCTGGTCCTTTCAAGCAACAGCCCCTTTGGAATGGGGTAGCTCTATCTTAGCTGCATTTAGATTGGTTTCATTCATGGCAGTCTCAGTCACAGGGGAAATTCAACATGAGATGATGCTTGCAGCCCCCTAGGACAGTGCTATATATTGTGCTCAAAACTCCTGGCAAACAGTCTGAATTGATAAAAATGGAAAGTTCTTTCACATTCTGAGTAGTATTACCTGTCAGAGGAAAAGTGCCCTTCTGCTGTTGTCACCTTCACCTGACCACTGGACCATGCTAAACTGGGACGTGTCTATGGCAGAAGATAAACTGGGTGGCTTGGCTGCAATTGGAGTGAGACAGAGTGAAAAAGGGAAAGAGAGAGCAAGTGCATGTAGAAGGAATTTTTAGAGAAGATGCTGGAGTAGTTGTTGTTGAAGTGGGACAAATAAGGGGAGAGAGCAGCAGGAGTGAATAGCAATGCTGGGAAGCAGGATGCCCACCAAGTGGTTCCTTTGCTCTGATCAGCTTACTGGAGAATCTGTGGGGCTTTAATATAAATTTTTCTAGCTGATGTTTGCACTGATTCCCGAGGCTCAGTAATGAAACAGGTTTTCATTCTGATTTCACTTTCTCCCTTAAGCATGTAGCAGTGCAGTCTGCAGCTGGTTGTGAGAGCACGTGTGTGGCTGCTCAGGTCATGCTGAGTCCCAGCACACACAGGTTATCATGGTCCTTTGAATCCCTGGTGCGGGTTGCTGTGCAGCGCTGCAACAGTAAATATTGACAGATGCGTTTGTTAATAGGCTTTGGCTTTATTATATCTGATAGCTGATACACTCCTGCTTTCAACATAATTCAGCCTGCAACAGCATCCTTTTCACTTCTAACACACAAAAAGCTGGTGTTGGACGTGTTGGTGTCATACATTGGTCCTTTTGTGGAGACAGCATCCCAGCTGGGAACAAAACGTGGTGAGAGGTAGTGTGGCTCTTCTCTCTAAGGCTGTGTCTTCCTGGCTCACAAGCCAGCTGAGGCTGGTCACACTGGCACAAGCACTCTGTGTGGGCCACAAACCAGTTTACACAATAAGGTGTGGGACTGGCTGGACGAGACCTGCCAACAGGGTGTGATGGGGAGGAATGAGAAAGGGCAGACCCAGTTTGTAGTGCTGGGAGACTTCTTGGTTCTCTCTCTTGGTCGCTAATATTACTTACAAGTGACAGAGGAAAGGGACAGCTTGCCTACTGTTACATGTGGATATATACATCCCACCTGGGGTTTTTGTCCTTTGTAAGGTGTTTCTAGAAAAACCATTCTGCAAGAGCATTCCCACCCCTGCATCCTATGTGATATCCACAGCCATCTGGTAGAAATAGTGTGAGTTTGCTTGTTTGCTTCTATTCCCATTCCCTCCCTCTCATTATTTGAAATGGAAGGAGGCGAAGGCAAAATGAGACTGGGCATTGCTCTGCACTCTTGTTCTGGGCCCACTGGCAGCATCTTGAGCCTGGTGATAAATGAGCTCAGTGCCTGAGATTCTCCACAGAGGCTTCAGCATCTTGAATAAGGTGGCCAGTGTTTCATTGTCCTCTGTGCCTGCCTCTGCTTTAGGAACTGCACCGCAGCACTATTACGCTGGAGGACCATGCTAGCATGATCAGAAGGAAGGAGAAGGCTGAGGAGGAGGTAGAGGGGAGAAGGTACTGGGGTAGCATGAGAGAAGAGCATAAAGGCAGCAACAGGAGACTGGAGCAAAGGATTAAAAACAAGTTCCTGCTGTACTGATGTGTGCAGCTCTGCACAAAGCTGCTGCTGGCAGCCAGAAAGGCAAAGGATGCTTGGGGAGAGGGAGGTGGAGCCAGATGTTGGCTCTAATTTTGCTGTCTGCTGGACCTGTACTCATCACTGCAAGCCCACAGCAGCTGTGCACTCACAGGGTGAGCAGCTGGCTGGAGCCAGGCCTTGTTCTCCCTTGCACTGATGTCACACCTGCTAAACTGTGCTGAACTCCAGCCTGTTCTCTCTCTCTCTCAGCCTTCACAAAACTTTCTACCTATGCTGCACGAGGAAATGCGTCCAGGGTACTCATTGTGCCTTGCCCATTGCCTAGTGATACAAGTTCCACCTAGAAGCAGGACAGTTGTGATCCATGGGGACATGGGTGCTGTTATTCTTTTCTGATTTATCTCAGACAAACTGAGATAGCATCCAACTATTTATTTGGTTAACCCGACATGCCCATGTGGATACACTTGACTGGTGCTTCAGGAATTTTGCAGTCTGGACTAGAGGCTGATTTCTTGTCCTGGCTTAAATGATGTGGAAGAATACGTAATTTCATGTTATTCCCAGAGGCTTTAGATACCCAAATTCCACACAGTTCCCAGATGAGGTGGAATTTGCACTGTCTGAACCTCACCTTCAGGCTTCTCTTCGATTCTCCATTTTGTTTCTCTTCTAAAGGTTATGTCTAGACAAGGGAAATGGCTCCTGACCCCCTCCGGTTTGCTGGCTATCTTCCCTTTGCCCAGGCTCTGTGGCAGCCTGTAAGGAGGAGCTGCCACCAGCCCCCTGGTCAAGCTCTACTTCCCAAAAAGCCCCATGCCAGAGGCCATGCCACCCCCAGTCCCCTGCCTATGTCTTGTGCCTCCTCCTCTCCTTCCCAGTAAATGATGGTCTGGTGCTAATGATCCCAGGTGAGATCACTGCCACCAGGATCTGGTTCCACTCTTGGCATAACAGTCGTGCTACAGGTTGGCAGATGGAAGGGCTGAGCAGCAGGCATGCCAGTTGGACCTGCACCCAGCTTGCATGCATGCATGCAGACAGTGTTGTTTACGTGTACAGAACCTGACAGCAGCCCAGTGCCACTGTCATGCTTGATTCCCACAGGTACTGCCCTGGTTCTGCCCACTGAGGCTGTTCCCTGAAAGGTACAGGGATAGGGGAAGGCACTGGAGCCTTCCCAGTCCTCTGACCCCTCTTACCTGGGGATGAGGAGGGTGCCAGTTCCTCAAGCAAATTGCAGCCTGATCAGCTTAAGCAGGTACAAAGCTTGTTGTTGGCTGTGAAAACAGCATGCAGCCGCAGCTCTGTGGGGGACTCTGCACAGTACTGTGGTAGGGTCTGGTCCAGCCCATGGGAGCTCCATGCAACCTGTGGGTAGTTTGGCTCAGTTGAGGAGATGGGTCCTGGCCGTGCTGGAGAAGAATGGGGTCTGGCACTGGGAGCTGGCTGGGTCCAGTGACAGCCATTCCTTCTCAGCTGGAGCTTAGAGTCATGTATGTTATGGTAGGTGGGGATCAGAGGGATTGCATGTGCTTGCATTGCTCGGGTGCTCTGCCTGCATCCCTCCCTCGCCCCCTCTTGCTGCTGGCCTCTGCTCCTGCCTTACCCTCACACTGCGCTCTTGCCCCACAATCTCCATACTGATGGATTTGCTGAAAACTTTCCTCCCTGCATCCCTCTTTCAGTCCTGTTATTGCAGAATTTGTGATGATCCCAGCTATCAGGAGAATTTTCTTTGCAACGAAACTTGTCAGCCTAGAGAATGTTATCAGGGGGAGGTTAGTGTCTGGGACAGTGAATGTGAGGCCATAGAAAGCTCTGCCAAAGGCCTTATTGCCAGGACCAGCATCCCCAGTAACATATCAGGACCAAACCTTGCTGCAGGGATCCAGGCACTGCACAGCAATAGAGATTGTATCTTTGCTGTATAATCCTTGTTCTTGTCCTTCCCCTGCCAGGCAAGCATGACTGTGGCAGGGAAGTTTTGCTGACACATAATTCATCATTTTTAGTGGTGGTGATTTTGACAACGATATTTTTCCAATCACTTTCTTGAAGCTTCCCTGATGCCTTAGTGTATGAAACTCTGTTCAGCTGGTATGGTTCAGGTAGTATGGTTTGCATCTTCAGTGGAATTTAGAGAAAGAGGGAGCCTATGGGTGACTGCAGAGGATCACTGACTTAAGCAAGACACCTTACCCTGGTCTGAAGCGGTAGTAATGGCTAGGCTTGAAGGGCAGATCCCATGGAAGGGTGCTGAGGAAGCATAGCCAGTAGGTAAGCTCCAGCAAGGCACCAAATGAAATGCCACAGGATACAGACAGCAAATGAATTAATTTTGCAGCAGTGATTGTGAACTCAAGGGGGTCTTGGCAAAATGCCATGCTGCAATGAGCACAGGACCTTGGTGCACTGATGCAAGTCAATCAGGTTTATTTCTCCCATCTTGGAGCCACTGGTCTTGACATGGAATTGCTCCAGGTCCATATTTCAAGTCATCCCCCTAATCAGGAGGACCTGAAAGCTTTTTTTCAGTGAAAGCTCAGGCTCCTTATCACTGTTCTGTGCCAGAGAAGGGAATTTTTAGCCAGTTCTACATGACGATCTCACTGACAAAGCAGGCATACTTGCCTATATAGGAAGGGAAAAAGCAAGGTGTTAGATAGTGAATATGATCTCACTGGTTTCCAATTTCAGGATTTTCATGACACTGTGGATTCTCTTTTCATGCAGCTGGCTCAACGAAACATCATCCAAACCTTCATTCCTGTGCAGAAAATGGAGAAGGGCCTGTTGCTGGAGCACATCCTGCCCAACCTGAAGGTGCCTCAGAGCTACGAAGTTCGCTTGACACCTATCACCAGCTTTGGGGCTGGCGATATGGCTGCTCGCATCATCCGGTACATGGAACGTAGGTGTCTCCTCCTCTGTCCTGGCTATGAGAGCAAGTCTGAGCTGCCAGCTATGGGTCAGGCCAATGGATATGGGCATGTGTAGACGTTGTCTCCTGCAAACCTTGGGTGTATCTCTCAGCTGTGTAGAGTTTTGATGGCATGGTACTGTCACATTTGGCCATTTTTTGGCTGCTACCATCAATGCAGAGCATTACACAGAGACATACTATGGTCAGTCTCAACTCATTTTTTACCCAGCAGCTCCAACACACTCTCCTCTCTGTGGGAGCCCAAAACCCCACTGCTACCTGTGGCTCAGTGACATATTTCAGAGAACAGCCAGTGAATTCTGCATATTAGCCACATGCCCGTAAAAGCAAGAGGATTTCAAGGAACTTCATTGTTTCCAGAGCTGAATGCACAGTTCATTTCCCAACTAGCCACAATAAACCTGTAGCTCTGCCCAACTTCCTGAATCTCAGATCATCCTATTGACAGACATTGACCATGCTTCTTTTTCCAGCATCCAGACAGCTCCCAGCTCATTCATTCTCACAACCTTATGATTCCTTCATTCCCATCAGGAGTCTGGACCCTGTATTTTTAGCATAAAGTACAGAGCTCCTTCCACCTGTGTTTGCATGATCTCACAACTTTCTTGACCTGGAAAGTGACACTGATGCCCCTCTTAGATATCAAGCTGTATCTCCCAGTGACTGCTTTCAGAAAGAAACTGCTCAGAAAGCCCAAAGGGATTCCCTGTGCAGTTCCAGGATCACCCATTATTAAGATTTGTTGCTGTTCGGATCAGTGAGTCAGCAGCTTATTCTATCACCAAGGCAAACACTGAGCAGTGCTGTTTTGCAGGGATGCTGCTAAGAGATTTGTACAACTCTGACCTTTCTTGATGTGCTTGTTTTATTTTCAGACTTTGATTATGATTTGTGATTTGGCGGAGCGCTAGCTGTTCTGATGTGTTGTTTTTCTATTTCCTTTTCCAGCAATCAACTATCCCAGCCCAACAGGTAAGCAACAAGACCTTTGTATTTATGTTTTGATTGTAATGCTTGTTAGTCAAGTGCTGCAGGAGATCAGGCAAACTGGAAAACAGCACTATCTTAACATAAGTATTTTCCCCCAAAGAGCTTGCAATTGCATAGACTATTAATAATTTCATTAAGTAATGCCATTTTTTGTACCTTGAGTTACCATCGGGAGATATATGCCAGAGACATGCCTCCCACTTAAACCTGATATCTCTGTGACTGAGTAGGTTGTGACATTGAGCCCACCTTCCCTCTACTATTAGCAATTTGCATCTACTGAGAAGATTATTAAAAGTTCTCCAAAATATCTCTATTTAAGGAATGTATAACCCTCATATTCTTCTTGACACCTCTACAGGCTGGTGTGGAGCAATCTCTAGCTCAGATCTGGTTCTGCTTATAAATTCCATGAGCACAGTTCCTTTCTTCTTCCCCTCTGGTGTCATCACTATTTGCTTTCTCATTTATCTTCCAGTCATTCCTGCTAATGCATCCTAACATCTAGATGTAGACCCATCTTTTCTGAGCACCCAGAGTTCCTCTTGATTTTGAGATCACAATACACAGCATCCCACAATGATGTTCTTAGTGAAGAACATGATAATGTCCATAAAAGAGGATTTCTAGCATGCTAATCTCCAAGGTATGAAACAAAGTCCCTTTGCTTCAGTAGTTGGATATGAGCCCAGGCAAAGCTCTTGGGCAGAGATGGGCAAACTGCTTGCTGGTGATCCACAGAGAGCAGGCTGGTTCCATGTAGATGTTTCTTTTTTCCTGTTTTCAACTGCTAAGTAAAAATCAAAAAAGCTGAAACACCGTTCAGTCTTCTTAGGTAGCACTCTGCATGTGGGCAGGCAAGTGTTACTGCTGCACTGCAGGATACCACTGGGAAGGAGAAGCCAGGACTGGGCAACAAGCAGGAACTGGAGCACAGGGTTATCTTGTTAAGGCAGCCATCAAGCATTCGTGTGTGCAGATTCACACTCCGAGGATGATTAGGTTTATCACATCTTATCTGGTAACAGGAGTTTCTCAGAGAGGCAGTGGGATTTTGTATCTATGACTCCTGATTCCTTTTTCTTTCCTCTTCCCCACTGTTTGATCCTCTTTAAACATTCTCCAAAGAGAACTCACTGGTCCGTTGGTCTGATTTCCACCAGGAAACAATGAACATATTGCCAGGGACCCACTCCAGGATGCATCTCTCCCTTGCTGGAGGAGGTGAGCATTCTGGCTCACAGGGGAAAGGGATAAAATCTGGCTTTTTGCCACTTGCTTTTACACCACATGTATCTCTGGTAATGACAGGGCAACTTCAGTCTTAATTGTGTCAGTCTCCTCAGAGTCTTTATAAGTTGAGCCTTCAGATTGCTCACCTGGGATTGCTTTGGCAGCTTCACTGAGACCAGAATGAAATTTGCCTACATCAGAGAACTCGGCCACGCCTGTGTTTTCATGCAGTAAAACCAGCACTTGAGTTCTCCTTGTTATGATTTATCCAGACTGTGCTGAAAATTGGAACCGCTGAGCCAGCCATCAGGGTCCTGCCTCTGAGTTCACGCCTTGAGATTGACTGCCTTATAACTTCAGCCACCACTCTTGCTTTCAGAGATCTCCCTTCCTTTCAGGCCAGCTGCCATTGCAAACACGAGCCCTTTGCAAACATGAGCCCAAAGCCTCATAGCTCTGTCTCTGGGCCACAACTTGCTTCCAAGCCTCTCAGTTCAGCAGCATGGAAATCCCTACTCCTACCTCTTTTTACCCCCACTTCCCTTGCTACCACCACCTCCAGAAAAAAAGTGTTGTGATTGCAAAGGTATCCTCACGCTAGGCTGCCCAGCCAAATTCTGGGAGCAAACATTGAGAGCTCTCAAGTGAAAGGCAAAGATTGGATGATTAATGCCTCTGGCAGCCTGATCCAAGGGCATGCACAATGGTGATTAATTTACAAACTCTGAGAGTCACTTAATACAATTATTTCTTCATGCATTTTCTCTTCCAGCCTAATAAGATGTTAATGACATTGGGGCAGGCATGCATGTGCTATGGTTACTGAGCCAGGTGCTGAGATTATAAGGCAAAGGGAAACTGAAAGCACAGGGAGTGAACAAAAGATATTGAATATTTCACTTATTTAGGAATTAGCAGTAAGACTGACTCCTAAAAACCAGTTAATCTTATTCTAGAAACCAGAATTTATCTTAAAAGTCTCTCTTAGAGTAGTATAAGGTAAGGTAATATTTTAAATATCTCCTAGGACAGCTGATCATCTTAATGTTATGATTAAACTCCAGGGGAATCTGTTCTGTCCTTCTTACTTTGACTCTGCGATTTCATTTGGGTATGACGTTCACTTTCCAACCCAACCCTGCAGTGTTGCTCCCAAAACTTTTCCATCTTATTCGCAGTGTATGGTTTGGTTTCCCTGGTTCTAGGGGATGTAGCCTCGCAACCTCGGTGACAGGAGAATTAAAAAACATATTATTCCTTATGTATCTGCAATCTGGCTGTGATGGAGCTAAAATGTTTCTGGATGGTGGACATGTACGGTGGGTGGTGATCGGCTGCAGGTTGTTGTAGATTAACCTGTCTCATTGCTCACCATCCAGTGCTTGTGTGTCCTGTCTCTCTTAATGCCTCATAGCACAGAGGGATCTGAGCTTGCTGACTCAGCATGAACATGTGGGAACAGGATGTGATCCCAGTGTTTGGAATTGGATTCCTCAAATCTGTGCCCATCCCAGATCTTAAAGCAGGTGACTGCCACTAATTCCTCATGACAGGATGGAAAATGTGATTGGGCCATATTATCCCAGTATCATAGATGGGGATATTAAAGCAGATGGTGCTCCAATATGACCCAACCAGTTAGTGTACTGTAAAGCTTTCTTCCATTACTGGTTAAAAATGTAGAAATGCTTTAGAAACTTATGGAAAAATTTGTTACGTGTGTCTTAAATCCCAGAATACTTTGAGGTCACAATCCAGTTTGCACTTTCTTCATCTTCTAGGTGGGGAAAGTGATCTCTAGTGATAGGCTGTGGGTCACACTGTGGGTCTGTAACAGAGCTGAGGCTCAGATCGTGGTCCCCTGTGCTCTAAGCCAGTTTCAGCTGTCACAGCACAGCTAAATGACGAAGGCAATTTTATTTGAATGTGCTTCCATCTGCTATTCACCTGTAGTCTGCAGCTAGGATCATCTTATTATTTTTTGTATGCATTCATTTGGCAGCTAGAATTTCAAGGCCAGGGATTGCTTACCCCTGAGGACTTGAAATGAAAACCTCCATTATGTTTCTCGAGGAGGTGAAGCAACAAGAAATGCTAATAGGCATGGCTGAGGGTCTCACCTCTGGGAATGCAGGGAGGTGTCTATAACCAGGAGCAAACATCTCTGCACTTTGAGCTGCTGCCACTGCAAAGCCTGCCAAGGAAATCTGTTTGGTGAAGACGGCACTAACTCCAGCCTTTGAGGAACCAGCTCCCCTGCTACTTCCACCTCGCCTCTAACAATCCAGAGAACAACTTCTGTGTTCAATATTTAAAGCCACTGTTTAATTTTTAATCAGGAAGGTTCCTTTGCTCCACAGTGCTGAGCCAGGATCCCTGGCAGATGGTGCGAGTCTGAAAGAAGGTTTGCTTCACACAGCCGAGGTCAGCAGTCAGATCACTGCTGTAGCCTCTGAGACGCAGTGGGTCACTTAAAGGTTTGCTTTGCAGCTGGATCAGACAGGTTTCTCTCAGTCAGCCTGATGATAATCACCCAGAGGTGACACGCTGGCTGTTTCCCAACTCTCTGAATATACCTGAGTTATCGTGGGCACCTCCACTTCCAGCTCAGAGGAGCAGCAGAGCTTCTGCCTTCCTGTGGTTTGCTTTAAACCAAGCAACCAGCAGTCAGAACACCAGGGTTCTGCTTCCATCTTTGACACTGCCTGCTGTGACCTTAGATGTGTCTATTTTAGTGCATCTGTTTCGCCGTGTGTAATGCAGGAGATGTATAAAGTGGTGATGCTTCATGGAGATATTATAAAGCCTTGTTCATTAGTTGCCCAAAGTGCCTTGAGATCCCAAGCTAGGCAGAAGCAGCATGCTGTAGATTGCTCTCGCATGGCAAGTGGTGTTACATGTAAGCCTGGTCGTGTCATGCCATGCCCAGGAGCCTCCTCCATTCTGCGCTCTCTGCTAGGAGCAATATCTTCTGGAATTGGCTGCATCTGAATGAGAGATGAAGACAGAGGCATGGCCCTTTTCTGGCATGCAAAGAACTGAGAGTCTGCAGCACCTCATGCCTTGTGCTCTAGAAGTAAGAGCAGCCTCTTCCTACCGCCTTAAAGCTCTCCGTTCCTGTTCCCAAGGGTGTGATGGACTTCTCACGCAGCAGTTCTCAGCCACCAGGGCCGGGCCTCAGCTGTAAGACAGGAATACTGTCCCCTTGTCTTGCATAGCTCCCTGTTTTTCTCTGTCCCTGCACTGACCTTCTCTCTGGTCTCCACCTGAGCTTGGGCTTTCTCCTCAGCCTCCTTCTTTGGTTTCTGTGCTGTTTTCTTCAGGGATTTGCTCCCTTTCAGTCAGCTGCCTGGCAGGCTTTTGTGCTACAGTTTTCAGCTCTGTTTTCTGTCTGATATTCCCAGTTAAGGGAATTTTGTGCTGGGGAAAAATGCTAGCTTTTTCCTCCAAAGGTCCACAAGCACAATAGGATCAGAGATGCAAATCCTTCCCGTCCTGATTGTTCCCTATGATTGCAAAAGGATTTTGTGCTGGGCTGGCAGACCCCTAGCAGATGTTATTGCCCAGCCTCAAACCCTACAGGTGTCTGCCCTGTCTGCTCCTGCCACCTCCTCCAGCTCCCTGTGCCCAGCACTGCACTGTGTGGCAGTGGCTAATTTGGATTAGGATGCTAATTAGAAATGAGAGGATTGAACGGAAAGCACTTAGCCAGGGTTAATCAGCAGTTAAGTGGCCAGCCCAGTCGAGCTCCCTATGGCTGTGCTCAGCTCACAGAAGCAGTGTTTCCTGCTGAGCTAAAAGAAAAGCCAGCTGCCCTTTTCCACAAACCAAACCCTTGCTTGCAGCACAGTGTCCAGCCATTCTGTGGGTTATGGAGGAGGCTACATTCTTTTTCCTGATTGCTTTGGTGTAACAACCACATAAGAAGGGAGAAGAGAGCCTCCATGGCCCTGCTGCATGGGGCTGCAGGCTGTTGGTGTCTGTATGGCAGACAGCAGTTTCGTTTCCCAAATGGGAGGAGGTGATGCAGGCTATAGCTGGAAGATAGGTGCAGCGTCTCAGAGACAAAATGCTGTCCGTTTATCATGGAATCATTAAGGTTGGAGAAGACCCACCCCCACCATGCCCACTAACCACATCCCTCAGTGCCACATCCAGAGGGCTTTTTAACATCTCCAGGGGTGGTGACTGTGCCACCTCCCTGGGCAGCCTCTGCCATTGCCTCACCACTCTTTTGAATAAGAAATTTTTCCTGATATTCAACTGGAACCTCCCATGGCACAATGCAGATGCAGGTAGGTGTTCAGGCTGCTTCTCATCTGTCCATGATAGTCGGAACTGTGTGTGGGGGGGGAAAAACCACAAATAACTGAGTTCAGCGTGCCATGGATGAGTTTCTAACACATTCCATAACCTGAGAAAGAACATGTTTTTCTTTTCTGTGTGTTCTTTCATGAATTTAATTACTTTACTGTTCAGTTTCATAGCATACTCCCCTGGCTGTAATGTAAAGGCAGAAGGTAAAGAGATCTGCTTGCTGTGTCTGCACCACTCGAGAGCTCTGAGATCCTACTCTCATCTCATTCTCCAGCTCTGATTTAATTCCTGGAATCATTTGAAAAAACAAAGTAATTTTCAGAGCCAATCTTGGATTTGTTTTTTCTTTCTTTTCTGTTAATTCTTTCTCTTCTTTTCCAACTGTATCAGCAGTGAAAGGCTTTGGTTTTGAGGCTCAGAAACTAGTTTTCACCACAAAGGTTCAACAAAAGACCATCTTAATTCTGGTCAAGTTTGATTTGCTCCATTCTCTGCAGGTCCACATTGGGTTGTGTCTATACACAAGATTTTTCACCCATCTCATATTGCCATAGGCTGTGATTGTCTTGTGGTAGTAGCATAAGCAAGCTCTTTTTCACGTGTAGCTGATGCTACATGAAAATCTTTTGCCAGTGTAATGCATTTTGTTAGGAGAACCCGCATAAGCTGCAATAGCAGATATACCTCTGAGCTGGTATAAATTGAATATGCTCTAGCTAAATTACACATTTATAGCACTGAGCTGACCTCTTCTCCACAGCTGTTTTTTTCATGTGTGCCATAGTTTAATTTAATACGTAGACCAGAGTGAAGTTTACCTGCTGGCACTCTCTCCTCTTTCCTGGGAAGATTATTCTACCATCAGGCTGTTCTGGTTTAAAAGCTGTCATGGCCTGCTTGCCTTCATCACTCTGTTACTCTTTTTATCATCCTCTATTTCAGCTCCCTTAGACCTCCCAGCAGAATCTCTTTTAAGTCCTGTTAGCTGTATTTTATTTTGTCAGATAATTGCATCCGTCAGCCTGGATTAACCATTCTTTAATTGTAGCCATCATGAAAATATACCTTTTCAGCCTCCTCCTGAGGCTGGGGGCTGCTCACCTGTGCTGAATACCCCCCTGAAGCAGCAAGGCAGCCCCAGGAGGAGGTCTGAAAAGCGGCGCTCCCTGTCCTTCCCTGCAGATAACACCTGTCGCTTTGAGGATGAGAAGATCTGCGGCTTCGTGCAAGACAAGATGGACAACTTTGACTGGACACGGCAGAACGCCCTGACCCAGAACCCCAAGCGTACTGTCAACACTGGGCCACCCACGGACATCAGCGGTACGCCAGAGGGTAGGCACACTTCTGGGTTTCTTCTGGCTCAGTTCTGGGGGGAGATGCAAGCCGCAAGGCATCAGGGTCCTGAGGCTGTGGGAGATGGCAGAGCGCTGATCTGCTTTCCGCACACATGCTTCTCCTCCGCACAGGGTGCAGGGAGCAGGCAGTTAATTTGCATGTTACTGATTGGCATTAAACACACAATTAAAACACCCACAACTTTGTTTAAGGGAATAGTGTGAGCATTAGTTCTTGTTACTAGCTAATTGCCTGCTGCCTAATGTACTTGTCCCATTTGATGCTTGTTTTGAAGTCAAAAAAAGGATAAACAATTAAGAGAACTTCTCTAACACCTGAAAATGTCCCTGCTGGGTTTAACCAGCTGCTTCCTCAAAGAAGATCTCCATGGGGCAATTCTCCTCCATACCAAGCACCAGCAGGAGGGATGAGGCTGGGGGAGTGCCAGTGGGGGCCCCAAGCTGGACTGGAGGAGGCTGCTGTTGTGTATTTCTCATCCTATCTGACAAGATAGGACCCACACCAGATTTAGCTGGATATTGCTTTCCCCTTTCTCTAATGAGGAAAATAAATTCATATGCAAGCCCAACTCTGAACACAAAAAATTAAAAAAAAAAAAAAGAAAAGGGAAATACCCGAAGGCCAGCTAAGGAAGTGGCTTTTCCCATTATTGTTGAGTACACCAGCCAGACCTAGCACCAAAAACGATGTAAAAAAATAGTTAAGCTGATCCTTCTTGGGTTGGTAGCAACTACTTTGGCATTGCTCTCTTTAGATCAAAACAACACTGCTTAGGCCAGATACACTGAATCCTTTCTGCAATTCTCTTTCTGCACATGTTTCTGGATGGGATCCAATGGGATGAGAAGAGCAAGGCCATGTCTCATGCATCAGGAGGAGTCTCTCAGCCCCAAGCATCCCATTACTTGCAGGGGGGAAGATGCAATGGCTTTCCCTACCTTTTTCTCTCCTTGTGTAGGTTATTACATGTTCATCGAGGCCTCTCGGCCCCGGGTGACAGGAGACAAAGCCCGGCTGATCAGCCCACTATACAACATCACGGCCAAGTACTACTGTGTCTCCTTCTACTACCACATGTACGGCAAGCACATCGGTGAGTACTGTCTGGGGATGGGTTCCCCTGGCCTAGTGCAGGGTGTAAGGGGAAGACCTACCCATCAGCTCCACCAGCTATGACTGCAGCCAGCAATCTGAGTGGCTGAGAGTCTCACTCAGTACTCAAAGTGCCAGGATGGTCCTCAGAGAGCTGTTCTTTGTCTGCACCCAGCATGTTGTGAGGCTGTCCTTGGAATGGTATCTTGAAGCCAGCCATCACTCCTTGCCATGTTTCCTCTAGAACATGGCTCCTTACCCTCCACAAGAAAAAACACCACAGCTATGTTCATGTGTTTCTCCTTGTTGTGACTACAGCCACCTTGCTCTAGGTGGTGTGACATCAGAGAGGAGATGGAGGTACTCTGTGGGACTCTGTGGTGGGTGCAGCTACTTTGGAGTGTTCCAGATGTGTGTGCCAGGGCAGAATTGTGAGAAGGGGCTCTCAGCTCTGCCTGACTCCCTCCTCTCCAGCCATACCCTGTACATACTGGTACAGTGAGTGCCACAGCAGCGCCCAGCACACTAATGAGTTTCCATATCCAGTCAAGAAGCAATTGCTAATTCGTCACCTCTTGATTATAATTTCATTAATTTGAATAATAGATGCACTCTTTCCACAGCACGCTAGGTTATTAATCACCTGCTGGACTGGAGCCTGACTGAAAAAGCAGGCCCAGGCAGGAATGTGTCCACCCTTCAATAAACGAGGTTAATTAACAGCTCTCTGCTTCAGCACCATTGATGTCATTGGAAGGAAACATGCTCCTGAGTCCAGCCACCACATCTCTGTGCAATGTGGCACAGCAGAGAGGTTAAGCTGCAAAATCTGAGACCTTTTCTCAGTGGGGGCTAGGCTGAAAACCTGATCCCATGGATGCCGGTTGGAGTAGTTGGGCAGTGGTTCACAGAGCAGGTCTCCTCTGTCTTTGCTGTGCGGACTCAGGTTTGCTTTCTGCACTAAGTCCAGCTAGGTCAGAGGTGTTTCCACACACCTGTATCCCTCCTGCAGATGATCTGCTCCATGCTGTCTTCACACTGGCATTGGCAGAAAACTATTGGCCCTGGTTGACACCAAGTTTTCCCAGGTTTGCTGGGCTTTCTTAGCTGACAGAGTCCAGCTGTTAATGCTGGATGGCAAATTCCCTTCTTCTCAGCCATTTTCCATTGTGGTCAGTTGGCTTTCTTGACTAATGCCCACATGTCTTCTCCTGGCATTTTTGAAAGGGATTAGATCTTTGTGACTGCAATCGAGGATGACACAGACCAGCAGGGAAACGTGGGAGACTGCCAGGGAAAGAAGATGTGAAGGGAGGAGCACAAAGCAACCTCCTCTTTCTTTGTCTCCTTTAAGAATGCAGCTGTGCCCTATTTCCAAGTTCATTTCACTGGGAAAGTAAAAGCCCCTTAGCTTTTGCTCTGTATTGGAAGACAGCTGTTTGACAGCATTCCTGTGGTTTCTCAAGAGGTGGTGTGGACTGGAGGTGCTGGGGAATCAATTCATTACAGATTTTTGGCTTTTAGTATTTTAACTCTTTATTCATTTGCTTCACCCTGAGCCAAAGATACAGTTAAGCCAAAGACCTAGGAAAGCCACTGAGTATCGTTTTATATTCATCAGCATCAGGTGCCTTTTATAATTGATTGTTCCCTTATATTCAATGCCATTGTTCCTGCCTGGTCCCCATTTCCCCCTTGTTGCATAAAGGGGCTGTTAAATTTTTGTGAGGTAAATAGGCTGTTTAACACCATGAGATGATTTTCCAGAATGGCTAAGGCTGAGCGGGAGTGAATGAATTATTTAAAAATTAGACTGAATAGATAGAGAGAAAAAGAAATGAGAAGTTCTTTTCTCTTGGGTTTTGAAGATGCGGATTGGTCTGGGAAACCCACAATATATCCATCTGCAATTTGAAATTCAGTCCCTCGTATCTGCTCTCTGCTCTGTAGCTTCCTTCAGGGCCAGTCATGATATTCTGTAATTTTTTGGATTCTTTTTGATATTTTGGGGCAGTCTTGATGTCCATGCTGGCTGAAGGCCCCTGAGAGTCTGGAAGTGGCAGGCTGCCTGATGGCAAAGCAAGCTTCTTTAGCTTGTGGCCACGTTTCTTTTTAGTCCCCACTTGAACAAGAGGGGAGTTGGCCCTCAAATAGAGGCTTTCTTGCTAGGACTCCTCCTGCCAAGTGAAGAGACAGACCCTGGTCTCCTACCTGTATCACACCTGTGACAATATGGAGGTAAAGATAAGTGTTTACCAGCCTGGGCCATGACCATGTCACTTCCCATATTGCCACCTGTCCCCAGTGCATTTGGACACAGCTCTTACCCCTGGCTCACCTAGTGTCAGCCTGGTCCTACCAAGCCAGATGCCAGCACTACTGAGTCAGCCATAGCATATCAGATGTCTCCCGTTGGCAAGCAGTGCCAGTAAGAGGATATCTCTTAGCTTCTCCTAGAAGCTCCAGCTCCATCGTGGAGCCAACAGAAGCTCTGTCATTATGAAAGGAAGCCATATAAAACCCTGACATTTATTTATTTTTTTAATAACCCTTTTATTACCTTTTCCCATCTCTACAGAACTTGAAAGCTAGTTTACTCTTACAATTTGACTATAAAATATCCATAGCCATCCAGGCAAATCTTCCCTGGGAGAGTTCCCAGACACTACTCGTTTATAATAGATATGACGAAAGAGAGAAACTGAATACAAATGGAGCATTTGTAGCCATGGTATAAAATATTCAGCAACTAGCAGAGCAGGATGATGTTGAATCTCTCTCAGCTGATGAGAGAGCAGGGTGAAGGGGAGCTCCCTGGAGGCAATTCCCATTCTTCTGGAGTTATTTGGTCATCACTTTTTCTTCTTTTACCCCCCTCTGGAGCAAGTGTTTATATTGCCTACAATCCTCCCAACCCTAACAAAAAAAATCAGGAGGAGGAGTAGGAAAGAAATACAGTTTCTAGCAGACATTCAAGAACTAGTGTCTTGTCTGTGGCAGACACAAATACATCAAAGCAGGAATTGCTCACTCTATGTGCTCCTTCAGAAGAGGAGCTAGCCACAGCACACAGGGACCTGTTGTTGAGTGCCACTCCTTGCCAGGTTGGCCCTGTGAGTCTCAGCATTCAGCTGGGAGCAGATCCCCAGATCCCTGTTTCCACTGTCAGATTCCACTTCCCAGAGGTTTCCTGAGAAGGGAATGCTGTGAGGGACCAACTTGCTGGGAATACCTATATGCAAGCAGTGGCTCTGAATGTACCTAAACAGCTACTTTTTAGCCTCCTTCCCATATGTGATCACACTGGCAGACCCTTTTTTTTGCTTTGTTTTTAATACAACTCATCATTGCATATGGGCTTATGACTGTATTCTTAACATATTATAAGGGGAAGATGGCAGAGAGCTCTTCTCTAGGGTATCTCCTAGGTTGGAAGTGTACAGCAGTCTGGCTGGTCCTAGGCCACAGGAGATGAGCCTGGCTGAAGATCCTATTCTTGGCTTACAGTTTTATACTTCAAGCCTCCTTTCTGCTCTGGTAGTGTCACAGTCTTACCTTGGCCAGCCCCTCTTCCGGAAGTCAGAGAACAGGCTTATTTTCTGGTATGTGTCCAGCATCTGTAAAAATCTTGGAGAACTGAAGGTGGTATTGTTCCAGCTTAGTGCTGACACAGACCTTATCTGATCACACCAGCTATGTCTGGCCTATGTATAATCAGAATGGGAGACTTTCAGTGAAATCATAAGCTACTGTGAGGAACCGTGCTTGGTACTGATTAAGAGGGATTTTTCATCTAAGTCAGTAGAAACGGTGAGCCTTAATCATGCACATCGCTTGCCAGAGCACCCAAATCCAAGAAACTCACAAGATGTTATACAGAAGTAATTGGCTTCTAAGCAGCCCAGTTACACTGATAGTGTCACCGTTGACACCCTCTCCCTGATCAGGAAACATAGACCAGGAAGGGCTGACATAACAAATTGCTGTTTCAGTTCTTCAACTCAAATTATGCAGCTGGTACAAAGGTGTGTCTGAGGCTGGGATGATCGCAATAGGAGCCAATGTTTGCAGAGGTGCCATAGTTGCATCTTGTTTCTGACAAGTGACAGAAGTAAGAGCTGTCAGGTCATGCTGATTGACTGGTACCAGCTATGCCAATGTCAAAGTGATCTGAACCATGAAGAAGACCTTTTTGTAATATTCAACATCTTAGCACCCTTTTTCCCACCCAAACCTTGTGGATTTATGTATTCTGTTGGTTCAAGTGCTACCGCATGCAGTTACACAGCTGCTGTCCTGCAGGTAGCTGCCTCGTGTTGGAGATAGAACTTTTGCTTGATGTACAAATGCATAGTTCATTTAATCCATGCCATTGTGACCAGTGCAATAATTCTACACAACAGTTTACGTCACTGGATTGATCGGGGGAAGGCTGATTTTCCTAATGAGTGTGATTCACTTCCCTCTAGGCTTTTGAAAACAAGTTGCTGTTAGAGCTAAGTTTGTAAAGAAAAAATGCATTCCGTTTATATGTGTGTATACATACATATATATATATATATGTATCCTTTCTTTTTTCATTTGTTCAAATGGGCTCTTGGCTTTACGCATTCATCCATCAATTGATGCGTATTTAACTAATGTTCTGTGCAGATGTCAAGCAGTTTGCTGTGGCCCTTGTATGGGGCCTTGGATAAACTGTTGTCTCTTCTAATAGTATCTGCTTGGTTCTCCTGGAAGTTAGTCAAATACCATGATCATGAGCAAGGATTTTAAATACCTGGCAAGATAACTATAGATTTGTAAAGTGTCATTCAAACTCTATAAGTTCAATAGAGTGGCTCTGAACCAAAGGCTATAGAATGACTTCAATAGAAGTCATTGCTCTTCTGAAGACCCCAGTGAGCTTTGGATTCTAGCCAGATGGGACCAATACATTATCTAATCAAAGTTTCTGAATAACAAGAGGCAGAGAACTCCCTTCAGTTACTCTTCCTGAAA